GGCTGGAGGATCTCGTCGGCTGGAGAATTGATCCTTTTTGGTTGCGTATCGTGCTTAAAAGATATTATCACAGGATTCTAGAAGTAATATATCATGCCGGTGTCAAAGTTAACAGTCTCATATGTAGCGTCATCCGAATATTGTCGCATATTGATGTCTCGTATTCAGGTGACATGAGACTATAGTCTATCTAAAGCTGTGACTTTGGCGGTTTCAGAATTGCTGTCACGTTTTTAAACAGACTGAGGTGGCAGGTCACTTTAAGATGACGGCGGTCACAATGATAATGCTTGAAGTTATCATGTTCAGATGCACCAATGTGCGATCTTTGAATGATGCTCTGTCTGAGGTGATTGATTCCGAAACTGGCTTGATATATCACATTTAGAGTCTCAAAAGGATATAAGCAAGCACCACGAAGTCAAATAGACTTTCGTACCATTTAAGTTAATGTTCAAAGCATTTTGTTGTGTGTGTGATGAACTTATGATGAGGTTGTGGATTTTCAACTCATTGGTAATAGAGAAATGTTGCCAATGATTTTTTTCTAATGAAACAACGAAAAAAGTGATGGTCTTGCATGTGCTGCAGTGACCGTGCGGTATTAATTGTTCGGGAGTGATACTAGGTTGTCTTCATCACAAATAAGCAATTCACCTCTGGATTCCATTATTGGAGTGTAATGCGTTCAAGAAATGCAGGTGAAGGTAGTAAAACTCACATTGAACCGTGGAAGGAAATACAGCGCATGTTAATGATACATGCTAATGAAAGTTCACAAGATTAGGATCTATGAATTTGCCTTCTGGAGCACTGATGGAACGTATTTTCTTGTTAGGTAAGCATATAATCGAATGCTATCGAAATCTATAAGTATAAATCAGATGAAAATCAGTTAAAAACAGCTTTGTAACTGAATTAAAAATGATTTATGCCATTTTGATAGAGTTAGGTGAGCTAAAAATAAATGGACAGGGGTGTTTGCATTCGGTAGCGTTTTATGAACCCCGGGTGTCATGCCCAAGATGATAGAATTTGAAATAGCTGATCAGAGGTCGAAACTTTTTGCAGATATCTGCTCTCTGCCTTACAGGCATGGAACATCGCTTGATGCTTGTTGACGAAGTGCTTTTAGAAGCCTATTGCGAAATTCTTTTGTATTGAGAGCACGTCTCTGTATAAAATTTTGATATCTGATCAGCTATTTCAAATTCTATCATCAAAAGGAAGCTCTGATTTAAAACGTTTGCTTCTGTTGGAAACAAGAGCACATGATATCTGATTCTTTATGTAAGATACTCTTCATTGGCATTGTCTTCAGCTTAAATCAAGAAGAGAAGCATGTGAAACGATGATTGAACGAAACAGTTGAGAAGTGCATCATATCTAATTTCAATGCAATCGAATCACTGTGATGAGGAGATCGCTTTCTAGCGGAAAGATACTTCGGAGAACTTCAACAAAACTGCTCAATAAATAATACAAAATATCCGTGCATGCATATGTAGAAATGGTCGACAATATCCGAATAATCAGCAAAATCGCCCCAAAACACATGCACATCTTCAAGACCGTAGAATCTGGAGAATCTGATGGACGAGAGAAAAGACGCGTTGCCGTGCAACGCTGGGGTACCGCTACACTGAAAACGGTGATCCTGAAATTGCTAATTCCTTGTGCGCATTAATCAAAACAGATACAATGCACAGGAATGAGCAGTATAGATACATGAGATGGCGTCAGAAATTCATCAATGCTACTTGAAGTAACCAAAAAAAGTAACAAAGTTCTAAATGAACGATTCATTTCTGAAGTGAACTTCCAATAGAACACGTGCGTCTCAAAACCGATCTAATGAAATCATCTGTGGTGAGATTCAAGTGAATTTGAATGGTCAGATGAATCCCATGCCTTTGATATCCACAATTCAAACTGGCATCACTAAAACCATCTCCATTAGATCCACACTACCAGAGGCTACCATCTTCGAGGTACCGGCACTCTCAAATTTGCCGGTAACATGTGAATTACTTTGCACCATTCGATTGTTCAGAATCTCTACATTCACAATATCATATATTTTGGCTAGCAATTTTGATTAGATGAGGAGATAAGCTATAGCGAAATATATTTACTCAATGCTATACGGCTTCCATCTTCGAGTCTACTGTACTGTATTCTAAGCTTTGCCCTGTAACATATGAATTTCTGTACACCGTTCGATCAAGCGGAATCTCTACATTCAGAAAAACATATATTTTGCTGAGCAATTTTGCTTACTTGAGGTGATATAGCTATTTTCTTAGTACTTTCTCAAGGCTATGATGGTGTCATCTTCAAGCCTACCGTATCTCAGGTTTGCCCGGTAACTTGTGAATTTCTTTGCACTAATCAATCCAGCCGAACCTCTAGATTCAGAATATCATATATTTTGCAGAACGATTTTGCTTGCTTGATGTGATGTAGCTGTTTTCTTAGCACTGTATCAAAGCTATGACGGTGTCATCTTCAAACCTACTTTAATTTCAGGTTTGCCTAGTAACAAATCAATTTTTGTGCACCGTTCAATTTCGCAGAATCTCTAGATTCATCGCATTACACGTTGCAATGACAATTCTCATATTGTTATCGGAAAATTGTGTTTTACGAGTAAATCGTTCGTTTATTTATGCGAGCAAGTATTAGGCTGCAAAGTTTAGCGTATCGCATTCCAAATGGAACCGTATACCATTGTCTCATTCGATCAAAATTCACTATTAATGTTGAGTGTACGTAAATTTCTCCAGGTCTTCGTATTTTTTAATTAATTTTAGCTTTATCTGCTTCCGGGTACTGCTTGAAAGATGTCATGAAGTATGGGGAAAGGGCAATCTTGCAAAGAAATGTTCGTAATTTGCTGTTCGCAAGAGTGGATTAGAGGAAAGTGCTCGATAAAAACATCGTCAAGCTTTATCACGATTTTTGTTGTTTCTTTATCACGATATTCCTTCAGTTGGTTGGCTGAAGACGTTGGGACGTTTACCTTAAATTCGTAGCCATCAGTTATCATCTCTAAAAAACACAATTTGAATGTTTCTCTCATTCAAATTGTTACTCGACTGTTAATTCAAGGATTACGCGACTGTTTGATGTGTTTCGCATTATTATATAAATGATGTTGAATGAAATTTGACGTGATTGTAAACTCGGGCATTCATTCATGATTAAGCGAAAAGCTACGTTGTTTTGATGCGACCCAATGTTCAGTTGTACATCGGAATTTCAGTTTGCTTTCAGGGTGTTAATAAAGGCAACGTGTTGTTGATAACTTGGTTTATTCTATCAAAATGGTTCGTATGAGTGTGTTAGCGGATGCGCTTAAAACAATAAATAACGCTGAGAAGCGAGGAAAACGACAGGTTTGCTTTTGGATCTGGTTTTGTTTTGTGAGCTTATGAATTTTGAATCAATTTCTTTTTAGGAATAGGTCATTTATGATTTGCATTGACTGCATTTTCTGTTTACACATCCAAGCAATGCCGTAGCCTGATCTCATTCCTTTGTCTGTAGTGGAACGTCTAGGGATGTCCAGAACGTCGTTCTGAGTCTACTTGATGAGAAAAATCGTTGACCGTTAGTAAAATATTTGGCCACAGACGATCCTTACCCGTTTTCCACGTCTAATTATTTGCTAAGGACCTTTATTGTTAGTGAACTGGTCCGTTACCGGCTTATATCGTTGAAAATTGAAGGTGTTGATCCGACCCTGCTCGAAGGTAATAGTTAGATTTTTAACCGTCATGATGAAGGCTGGCTACATTGGTGAATTTGAAATAATCGATGACCATCGTGCAGGCAAAATTGTTGTCAATCTTACTGGTCGCATCAACAAATGCTCTGTGATTAGTCCACGGTGAGTGAAGCTTATTTGAATAATTTAATGGTTCTTCTTTTATTGCGTGCACTTTGTTTGAGTGCAGTACAGATGGTGTTGTTATTGTTGTGGTCATCTTCAGTTACGTTTATGAGAGAGTGGAGTATGATGGTAGTGGAATTGTGTTATTTTGCATCGTCAGAGAATTTTTCGTTCATTTTTGATTTGCAGCTGAATTAAAGGCGGCAGTTGAAATATGTAATTAATAATTTCATTGCATATTTCAGTTTTGATATTTCATTGCGCGACCTGGAGAAGTGGACGAGCAATTTATTGCCATCTCGACAGTTCGGTCATTTAGTTCTGACAACCTCAGGCGGTATTATGGATCATGAAGAGGCACGAAGGAAACATCTGGGTGGCAAGATTCTTGGATTCTTCTTTTGATTAATTGACAGATAAATGCTTGGAGAAAGTTAATTCGTTCGTTGATTATTGTTGTTGTTGTTATGTTTCTGCAGTTACTGAGAATAAATTTCGATTTGTGTTACTTAATCAGTTCTTGTTTGTTTAATATCACGAAGCACATTGTGGTCATTTCTCTACCAAATTTAATGTACTTCGTCATTTGAAGATTCTCAGCGTTAGTCCATCAAGAACTGAATGAATTCCAGCGAATCTCAAATAAAATGCAATGGTAACAGATGATGGGTCAGTTGCGGAAACTGTTTATTGAATACGATGGTTGGGTTGAGTCGTAAAGTGAAGAAGTGAACTTTTGCACTACATTGTTCCATACCGAGAAAGTATTGCACGAATTTAAAGAAGATATTCAAATCAAAGAATTCATATTTAAAGGAGATATGATTGATTCAAAGACGAGTATTCAAAAAGGATGGTCGACTGTTTTGAGATGATTACTGTACACATAAGCTAGACAGTAGGTTCGTGTTTCACCTCACAAATTATACTGGAGATTACATCTAGTGTTGAGCAAAACCATGATCGGTCGACAAACGGCTTGTGAACGACGGATGGGTGATGGTGCGGGGAGGGCAGACATGGTGATTGGGTGGTTTCTGCAGCAAAAATAATTCGCGTTCTTTTGCGTTCAAACTCTGATTTTGAGAATACTGGAGAAGATTTGGGCCGTATCAAAGTCAAGCTTTGGCCCAAAGTTCAGTTTTGTTCGTATGGTATTTCAAGTCGCTATTCATTTATCATAGTAATGCCAATGTGACGATCATGTTCATTTCTTCAATTCGGTAATTGATGAATTGAAATCAGATTGACTTAATTGCTGGTGATTCTAATGTGTGATTCAGTTCGGTTGGTTCGCTTCACAATGCACTCTCTTGTAACGAAATTCACTTATACACTAATGATGATGGTATCTCTCCACCCATTTCTCGTATTATGTGGCACTGACGTGATTAACGATGAAGACAATGGTGGATGGCACACGAACGATGAGGATCGCATCCGAGTGTCAGCACGTTGTAATTTGGAACGTCGGAATGCCGAACATCTGAGTCAATCGGATTTCCAGTCGCGTTATGCTTTCAGTGAACCCGTTATCATATTCAACGTCCAAAATGATCGGTTCCGTGAACGAACGCACAAAGAGACAATGCTGAACGAGTGGGCCGATGAAGCGGTCACGTTGAATTCGGCGAATACCTATTCGTCTGCACGAGTCGCATCAACATTCGGTGACTATGTGCGCGAATTGATGAAACCACAACTGCCGAACTCATTGGGTAATGAAACGTTGTATTTATTCGGCGATATTGATCCGTATCGATGGGCACCATTGCTCGACGAATACAACCAACCGAAGTGGCAACTGCCTGATCATCAACCAGCACTGAGCTTTGGCATTGCAGGCGCTGGCACTGGAGTGCCGTTTCATTTTCATGGACCTGTTTTTGCGGAGGTGAGCGACGACTTATTATTATTTTTTGGAGTTTGAGTGATTTGTGTGTTGGCGAGCTTTTTTTGTTTTGTTTTGTTTGTTTCCATCGCTTTTTTCTTTGTTCTGTTGTTGTTAGAAAAAAAGAAGGTAAGACGAACAGCACTGGTGTTGTAGTGTTGAAACAGAAGGATTTCGTTTTGATCGATAGAATCAATCGTTTGAGTAGCGTCGTTGATTTTGTTGATTGATTTGTGTAGTGACCAGTTGAATGTGGGATTGATTCGAGCGATTGGTTGTTTGATCTTCTGATTGGATGTTCAACAATTTCGACACACCACTCATAATGTTTTCGATTGAATTCTAGGTGATTTATGGTGCAAAGCAGTGGTTTTTGTATCCGTTTGAGCAACAGCCCGAGTTCGATCCTGATAGATCGTCACTGGACTGGTATTTGAACGACTATCCAAAATTGGAACGAACGGAACGTCCTTTGGAGTGTTTACTTAAGCCTGGTGAGGTGATCTATATTCCTGACAAATGGTGGCATGCCACACTCAACACGGAAACTTCTGTTTTCATGAGCACTTTCTTGAGTCCATCCATGAACCTCGCTAGTTAAATGCGCAATGAGCAAATGACAACTTTCTCACTCGGAAGGGCCTCGATCATCACATCATTCGAAATCTGAATGGAGTTCGGTTCGATCACCTATTTACTTAATAATTGTTGTTATTTAGTTGTAATTCTAATAATTATTCTCATAATTTAAAAGCAGCACTACCAAAGGATTGATTTTTCATTCGGTAATCGCTCTTTTTTGACTGTAGATCTTCTTGTCTTTTTGTATGCTTCAATTATTCACTTTGTTTCTGGAATGTTCACATAGTGATCGCCTATTTGAGTAATTGCATAGTTTATTTCTGAAAATGGCAGCAAGAAATCACAATAGCAGTTGAAGATTATTAATACGCGTGTAATTTAACCTTAATTAATTTAACTATCCAACTGCTCTAAGAGCATATGTGAATATATTTTAACATATTTCATTCGCAGGAATCATTCCCTTGGAATCAATGTAAATGTGTGTGAAATTTTTTGCTGCTAATCAAATTTTTGCTGCTCAAATCGTTGTATGTAATAATAGCAATAGTGTCAGTGATCTTTTTCTTTGTGCATACAAATGATCGCTTTATATGTCAAGCTTTAAGTGTGATTACATTCTAACAATGTTTGTGATATTGTTTTCATGAGAACATTACTATTCGACTAATAATAATTTGTCAGTTGTGCATTATAGAGCCGGTATTTTGAAGAACTCGTTGTGGTCTGCATATCCTAAGTCATTTATTTCTGGTCTATTAGTGTATTTTCGACTTATGATTGTGTTGTGTTGATTGTAATTGTGTTGATTCGCTTTACTGGAATGTTTACTGGAAGTTTATTCTTCTGTGATTGTGAGTAGTATTGTTCACTTTGTGATTGTGTTAATTAGTACGCAGTTGTTTTAGGGCGGTTCGATTCATGGTGAACTTTTGAGTTTTGAAGTGTATAGGTAGGTTATGATGGATTCTGATATTAATTATTCATCGATTGGGGTACCTTTTGAAAAACTTGAAGGTCATTTTGAACTTGCAACTTCTCAGTCTAAGGAGGGGAGGGGGGGGGGGGGGGNGGGGGGGGGGGGGGGGGGGGGGGGTGTTGAATTGCATTTGGAGAGATAGATACGATTCAGTTGAACGCTTACAACTATGAATGTTTCAGTTTGAGCGTGCATAATTGCGTTTTCTTATTCGTTTACGATTGTTTTTGTGGACTTATTGTTGTTAGACTGATGAATTGATTTCGTATTATAATTATTGTTCGCTTCGGATTTAATTCATCCATCTGTGGTCATATTCTTTATGTTGTTGTATAGTTAGTCATTCGTTATCAAAGTGCCAAGAAATTGATGACTTCACGTATATTCATTTTGTTTCTTTATTTTTTGCCCTTCCTCTTTCACGGTCTTCACATTCGGTGTTCTTAGTTTTTTCCGCTCCTTTCCTATTCAACCTAATGAATTGTTTTTATGGGTTTTGTTGAATGCTTTGTATTGAAATACGGTTTTGTTGAGTGCGCGATTTTGTAACCGCTTGTTGAATTGTTGAATAAAAGAATAAATCGCGATCACTGTTGTCGATCAGATCATTCGAATTGAAATGTCTTTGCTCGTCAAGTTTCAATCTGTTTCAGTTTGATCAGTACTTCTCATAATTTATAAGTTAACAAGATTAATAGTGGTACTGATCATGTGATAACATATGAAGAAAGCCTACCATTCGAATACGATCAGCATTTTTGGTTGTGAATGCGGTTTTGATTAATTTTTATCGGTGATATGAGGAGGACTGAAATTGCGTTTTGTTTTGATTGGTGTATGCGAAATGGGATGATTGACTGATTCAAGTTTAAATGGAAGAAGGGGTGATTTGATAATTAAAATAATTGTTGTCGCCAAACAACTGACGATAATTTATAGATTGACAAATAAGATAACTATGGCGAATAGCGATGGTCGTGTAATAGGTCTAATTGATATGGATTGTTTTTATTGTCAAGTTGAGCAACGATTGCAACCGCACCTGTGGGGCAAGCCGGTTGTGGTGGTTCAGTACAGCAACTTCAGAGGTGGTGGGTATGTTGTTGCACTGTTAGCTTGCTTTTTGGCTTGTTCACAGTATCGATTATGATTCAAGACGAGAACATTGCTCGTTTTGACCATTCCTTTCACCTGTTACTTTGATTACGAACATGATTTCAATCACTGAGCTGATTCGTTTATAGCAGTTAAGTGAGTATATCGTTGTCCAATTCGATTCCTTATCAGATTGTATCAGTTGAATACAGTTCTAGAATCTAGATGAATAATGTACGAAAAATGGCACGAATTGAGGCGATCATTTGGTGTGCTGTTCTGTTTTAGGAGAGAATCATCTGTATTTTAGAAATCCGGAGTGAGTTGTTCAGAAAGCATAAGCTCATTTGTTTGTTAATTTTCTTGTTTTGTCAGTGTGCTGGCGGTATCGTATGAAGCACGTCCATTCGGCATCAAAAGAGGAGGAATGTTTGCTGAACAAGCGAAAGCGTTATGTCCCGATGTAACGATTTGTTATGTGCCAGTGGGTGAGCATTCTGATAAAGCTGACATCCAACGCTATAGGTTCGATTTATTTATTTATTTCAATTCATTCCATTTGATTCGAGTCGTGTCTTTTTACGGATGAAGTTTTTGTGTGATCGATAGCGAATACTACGAAACATTCCAAGTTTCATCACGCAGAATATCAGTCGTCTTCCAAGCAGTGTGAAGTAATCACCACATTCGAGATCCTTTCAAGTGGCGATAAACGCACTCATAGTCAGTGCCATAGATAGAACTGAAAACTGTCTATTTGTTCCACTCACTCCACTTCCTACCTAAAATTTTACGTATAAAATTGTGACAGTTAATTCATTGATTATTCACCTGATTTTCACTCGATATGGTTACGAGCCGCGATATGCAATAGTTTGATGGTGAATTTCATTCGTGCATTCCTGTTATCCAATTGAAAAATGCGGAAACTTGCAAAGAATCGCGCTGAAATAAATCGTATCTGTAATATAGGTAATCGCATGTTTGTGCGCTGAGATCGCACAAACAGGAGTGTAGGTAAATTTTGATGTG